CTTCCGCGGATTGGTTTCCGATGTGATTTCGGGGCCGGTTTTATAACAATTTGAAAGGAAAAAAAGATGTTTACTCCATGTGGTAGCCCTACAATTTGTTATTATGTAATGTTTACTCCATGTGGTAGCCCTACAATTTGTTATTATGTAAGATTGTCATTTAGCTTTCAAGTTTACTATACATGAAAATATGAAATGGAATTAGAGAGCTAACGTATGCATACGTGCATTACAGCTGTCAACTGGATATCCAATATTCATGTTCCCAGTTTTCACCCCAAAATATCAACGTGTCTCATACATACATAAATATAATTGCATAACAAACGTGTTTTCTAATGGAAGTGGAAACAAGATGTCACATCAACTTTGTTTGCCATGGATAAATCTTTTGGAAACAGTACTAAATTAATCAGTGCAAGAGTGCAGCCAAGTAATTCGTATCCCAAGAGATTTCATATAAATATTGAACCATATGCCCATACAACTTTGGAACTAGATATGTGGTTCTCAAGGACTACAGGTATGCATGTAAAGTGTTTTTTTAACAAGTTTAAATGCCAGTTGGTTGACTGACATTAGATAACAGATACTTTTTTTTTATGAAAAAGAGAACAAATACCATAAGCAAGAAGTAGTGTTAGTAAACTTAAGGGCCATTTAGCAAACTCACCTGGCTAAGTAGTCTGGAGTAAGTTATAATTTCCACTCCAGTAGCTGTTGGGGTAGATGGCATATTTGCATTGTCTCCACCAATTACCTATATTAAACAAGTTTTTTTTAAAAAAAAAGAAAAAGAGAGAATCTTAAACAATCATGGCCGTTCATTGAATATACTAACTATAAATGGTTTGAACTTACCACTATAAGGCGAACACACGGCATTTGAGTTATAAAGCTTAGTAGCTGCAATAAATAGTTACACATAAGCAGAACATAAGTACACTTCGTTCCATAGAATATACCATGATAAAATTCAAGATTAAATGCTAGGCAGTGTTACCAAAATTGATGTAGTGTTTGAAATAAGAAAATGGAAATAGGATCAGAATCCACATAGAATGTATTTCATGATCAGGCCCCAGCCCAGCACTCAGCCCATTGGTTGTGTGCATGTGGATATGGTCCCAAAAAAACAGTATTTGATGTGCATGCAGTTTCTGCAGGATGAGATCAGCACCTGAAAGCACAGATCTGTTTCCTGGAAATAACTAGCTAGTTCCCAGCATCACTAAGTTAAGGACCAGTATGAGCAGTGACATGAAAACTGCGACTTTTAATGATTGTATAGACTAGTAACTATACAAGGTTGAGATAAGGGTTAAAGCTCACAGTGCTTAGTGTTTGAGGCACACAGAAAATAGCTTGTACTGTCGCATGGTTAACAATGAACTGAACTGCATCTGGACCTGTATAAACAATACATAAAACTTGTTGCTAGATAAATGAAAAGGAGATAGATGATCATTATGTGATGAGTGCATACCTAGAGTATCATAAAGTGGCACGGATACATATGAATATGCCGCACAGGCATGATCAACTATGGTCCACTCAGGTCTGTTTATAAAATACAAACCAATGCGCGCACCCTGGTTCAGTTTTAGAAAATTATTTAATGCAAGTTTAAAAAAAGGAATCTGTAAGTGTAACCACAAATGCTATATCATTATGGCAATGTGTGACAAGATCTGCCTGTTAGTAGTTAAAATCAGAAGGACGGTGCTTGTTGAGATCATAATGACTCACTTCAGGTATTCCATGGTAAATAAGACCAGAACCTATCGCAGTCCGGCTTGTACTAGCTTCTCCATATGTCATCCATTTGTAGCTGCAACAATTCATATATATCATTTAAAAGATTTTAACAAAGCTACAAAAGGCAATAATGACATATATATCCAGGAACCAATTCTTACTCCCCAACTGTTCCATCAACACAGACTCTTGTGCCCAGGTATCTACAGTCCCTAAAGGTTTCAACTGCATACCTGCACAATTTTGGGTATATTGCCTGAGAACTTATCACAGAACTTAAATTTGAACACTAATAGTTCTCTTGTAAAACATGTAGCCTGCAACAGGCATTTAAGTTTACCAGTTTTCATAAAAACATCAGATAAAAACCTTTGCATTCAAGTCGTTGCATACAAACATTTTCCAACTCCAAGGTTTCAATAAAATAACAGACTCACTTGCGAATAATTCTTTTTCCTAATTAGATTAGATTTTCCTAAAAATCTTCCTGATACAATTCAGAAACAAAAAATATGGGAGATTCCTAAGGAAAACATAACTAGCATTTATTTTGCTTGATGGTATGTAATTACACTCAAAGGTTTGCTGACAATTCAAGACAAGAATTTGATAAATCGTAGCATAACATTGGTAAATAACTGAGATTTGTCGAAGTTGAGATTAACATTCAGAAATAGAAGTTTGATGCTCAAGTCAGACTATGAGGATTCTTACACAAAGTTATCATGAAGCGTTCCAATGTCTGGGTTATCAGGGAATCTATTTATTAACTTAAGAGGTGACTTTGCGGATCTGCAAGATGGAAACAGAAATTTTGAGCCATGACATAAGCAAATGCAGTATAACATATACTACTAAATAACCTACCTGTACACATTCCACTTTCCAGTTTGCAACTTCTCAGGGAGTACAGCACTGTAGCCCTGCACTGGAGAAGCTATGCACATTGAGTTGTAAACTTTAAAAAAAAAAAGCATTGCTATGTCAAGAAAGATAACTTAAAACATGCAGAGTGCAGTTGAGAAACCGCAACTAGCATGCGTCGGCGTACTAAAAAATAGGAAAAGAAGCATCCCAGTCAGTTAAAAGCTAACGAGCTCGGAGCTAAGCAATTATTTTAGACGGTTACCGAGCTCAGCAATGGAATTATGGCATAGATGCCCAGTCTAAGCACAAATTCAGAAAGAGGAAGCTATCTCTACAGCTTAAGAATTGGGAATTTGGGAGTGGTTGCACTTGTTATTCTCCACTTTATCCACTTTACGCTCGAGCGGTGCGCGCGCCCAGTAGGCCCCACGCAATCCAACCCCAAGATCCAAATCGCGGCATCAATCATGCACGGGATGGATAAAATCACAAATGCATACCACATCACTAGTAAGTAGCAAGTAGTAGTGCAGACGAATAGACGATCGATCGATCGATCGTACGTACCGTGCGCGTACTCGCCGGCGGTGGGGTTGGCGGCGAGGTCAACGCCGCCGGACTCCGTCGGCGGCTGGAGGTGGCCGGAGACGGCGCGCAGCCGCCGCTGGGCCGCGCCCATTGGGGCCCTCTCCTCCTCCCGCTGCTGCTGCTGCCGCGCCATGCCCTTGGCTCGCACTAGTCGTCTACTACTCGTCTCCTGTTTCTCCGGCGAGGCGTTGCGTGGGAAGAAGGCGAAGAAATTTGTGGCGCGTGGGAAGCAGAGGACGAAGCGTGGGGGACTCCGACTCCTCGTCTTTTTTTCACTAGTGGAAGTGTACTACTAGCGTTTAAGTAAAGTTTTTTTTTAAAGAAAAGGAAATGGTGGGTTTGAATTTGGAGAGGATTTGGGAGGATAAATAAGTTACCGGGAAGGGTAGGAACTAGGAATCGTAGCTTTCTAGACGAATCCCATAGAAATCTCCTGTGCTTTTTGTAGTTTTTTTTTTGTTTGCCTGTTTGGTGGCACGCATAGTATATTTATCTGTTTTATCTTATCCGTTTTTCTTTTTGAGGGCAATTTTTATCTTATCCGTTCGTGCTGCTTGCGTCGTGTGCGCCGGCCCTCACGTCTCGTCGTGTCGTGCGGTGCGGCTGCGGCCGGCGGTGTTTGCTTTTGTTGCGTTGGTATGTGGATTGGATGCTTTCTTTTTTTTTTAACGCACCGACATAAGACCGGGCCAATTTCATTATATGAAGTAGAAGTAAAAGTATTTACAAGGGATTGGATGCTTTTTGTTGAATTTTTTTTCCCCTCGTGACATTGCCATGGCATCATCACAGGAAAACGGAGTACAACAGAATGGTGCTTTGGTTGTGTCCAACTCCAATGGGATATTGTATCGTTTCTGCTAATGGGAACAGGAGAGGATCTCCTCTCTTGCTAAAAAAAAGAAAATACTACTAAGAAACTTGTGATGCCAACTTTGCCTGGTCGTCTTCTGTTGATAGGAAGGTGAAAATTTTATCTTAAGCTTAACATGCATAGATGCCACATCATCATCCACTAATTAACAAGATGTCACATTATTATCCACTAACAATCATCACATTTAAACATCATGCAAACATGTTATATCTTTATATTTTTTATAATTTAAGAGCTTTTGAAATACAAACATGTTAAATTATCATCCAACATAATTCACATAATGTTTCAATGTATATCTTCATGCAAAGATGCTACATCATCATCCACTAATTAACAAGATACCACATCATCATCCACTAACAATCATCACATTTAAACATCATGCAAACATGCTATATCTTTATAGTTTTTATAATTTAAGAGCTTTTCAAACACAAACATATTAAATTATCATCCAACATAATTCACATAATGTTTCAATGTATATCACATAATAATTCACATAATTCACAAACATACTAAATTCCCGCAGCAATACGCGGGCTTTCACCTACTTATAAAAATTAGAGCACTGCTACACGTACTAAATTTCTTTTACAAAACTTTTACAAACAATAAGCTCAACCATTTGTAAGTAGATAGAAATAATAAAAAATCGAGATGTACTCACAGTGTAACACATGGTGTTAGTAATAAAAGTTTAAGTAAGACAAGCTACGTATAGACTTTCCTAAAAATTATCTAGAACACTGGCCATGAGCAGCCATGAGGCCCATGAATGGGAAGCAAACCTGGACTTTGCTGTTTCTGGTAATTGGGCTTTGCTGTTTAGGCCCAATTGCTAATATCAGCCCACGGGTATCCGGTGCCACGTATCCGCATATTCCTCACCACTACTCTGCGTGCGCATCGCTTCTCTCGAACACGATTCCCCAATCAATCGCCCCACCATATTTTAGCCCTAGAAACACCACGACGCGCAATCCATCCACCCCGCAATTCTACTCCCTCTCAAATCCTCCATCGCCGCAGCACTTCGAGCTTCGAGGCCGAGGAGGGGGAGCGCGACAAGCCCGCGGGAAGGGAGTCCACCATGGCGGATCTGCTGAGGAGGGAGGAGGAGTTCTACGCCTCCTTGTTCGACTCCCCCAAAGGTGACTCTCCTTTTACCTTCGAAATTGCCCCCCGAGGTGTCTCCTAATGCAAGTGAGTTTTTTTTTCTTTTTTCTTTTTTTTTTCACACTGGGCGCCCTTTGGTTTGTGAACTTAGGCGGCGATGCCGTCAAGTCGCGTGGGCAGATGATTGAGAGGAAGATTGAAGTTCTTGAGGACATGGCCACCAAGGTGAGACGGCTCATCCTGCTAGAATAAAAAAAACTGTTAGCTTGTTCCTTTGCAGCTAAATGAAGGTGGGTTGTTAGCTTATGATTAAATGAAATTATGGTTTCATCCCTGTTGCAAAGAAATGGATAGTGATCTACGGAATAGCAGCTAAAAATAATCTGTTATATTTGATACAGTATGTTGTTATATTTGACATTAGGAATATGCAGGTTGATGGTTTACAGATTGTAATGTTACACAGGTTAGTAACCGGAGATCTCGTAGGTGGTTGAATGATCGCTTGCTCATTGAACTTGTCCCCCGTCTTCATGTTGAAGAAATCAAAGGCCTTTTTGCTCCTCCACCATGGGGTAAGCTCCAGTGCTGCTCACATTTTCTAACTCCATATTGCAGGTCTTACAGTCTGGCCATTGAATGTTCAGATTTGTGTAGGGAGTAGTAAGTTCTCTAGAAGATGTGAGCCATGTTATGCATACTCTTTACGATGTGTTCACATTGAGAATGAGAAACAATATTATTTTCCTTACTGCATGTGCATGTTAACTGTGTGTCATTAATTAAAAATATATAGATTTACAGGAAGGATGTATGCTATCCAGTTTCCCTGATTGTCACACTTTTTTTCCTTCCAAGTGCTTATGTTCAGTTGTGCACTTTAATTGTGCTGACTGTTTACTGCAGGGAAATTAGTATTTTCGATGTATTATTACAGAGATGTTCCACATCTTTTTTGTATGTTATACTTATCTATATTCTACATGTAGGTGAGGAACTGCCCGTTTCTGCATTTTGTAGGACAAGTGATGGTGAATGGGATGCCTTCAGGAGTATTGACATGGACGTTGAGGTATGCTAGTGCGTCAGTAATCTGTGTTGTCCACCTTGAGTTGACAATAATATATCAAACCGACCGTGTAATTAGAAAAAAGGGCCTATCATCTAGATACCATGTGAACTTTTTAGGGATCCATTTTGCTTACTGTGCTTTTTATCTGTAGGCACGATTGATGCAACAGATGAAACAATCTTCTACAAAACAGAAGAATCATGTGGACAGCGATGAATTGATTGCTCTCAATGCTTGGCATCGTATAGATCGCCAAACAAGAGAAGCCATAAAGAGAAATTTCCTCCCAGATCTGCTTGACATATATGAGGTATGCCTTTCTTTCTCTTTGATTGTACTCTTTAAACCAATTGCCATACTTTTTGTATTTCTGTTTGCCACAATGGTTACTAGATTTGTTTAGTTGGGAGTTGTTTTACTACTTGATGCATCTTTCTGATTTTGTAGTTTTAAAAGATCAAACACCTTTTTTATGAGCAAGTTCGAACAAACAATTAGGTGCAATTTAGGGATCCTTACAGTGTTTTTGGTTGTAGCGTGGAATTGCATTACACACCTATCTTATTACACCATTAACCATTTTGGCTTAAAAGATTTTTCTGTAGAACTCATGGTAAGGACCATATAAACATACATCTAACATCTAGAATATTCCTTTACAACATGATTTAAACTTTTGAGGGTCTTAGATCAGCACCTATCTTATTACACAATTAACCATTTTGGCTTAATTTTTTTTCTATAGAACTCCTGGTAAGGTAAAGGACCATCTAAACATGCATCTATAATATTCCTTTACAACATGATTTACACTTTTGAGGGTCTGAGATCATCACCTATCTTATTACACCATTAACCATTTTGGTTTAAAAGATTTTTCTGTACAACTCCTGGTAAGGTAAGGACCACCTAAACATGCATCTATAATATTCCTTTACAACATGATTTACACTTTTGAGGGTCTGAGATCATCACCTATCTTATTACACCATTAACCATTTTGGTTTAAAAGATTTTTCTGTACAACTCATGGTAAGGTAAGGACCATCTAAACATACATCTAGAAATATTCCTTTACAACATGATTTACACTTTTGAGGGTCTGAGAAAATCTCTCCTGGCATTGCTAGCCCTAATAGCTGGCTTACAAGTAACAGTGCGGGTACCTAAGCTTTTTAGATGATGTTCTGTTCGCTCTTGCATCTGTCTCTGCAATTTGGAATGGTACTGTATAGTTATCTTCTTAATGAAAAGGAAGCAGTCCTGTTGCTCAGGCTTCAGGCTTAAACATGGTGACCTGATTGTCTGTTATTGCTACTGTGAAATGTGTTATTATTCTCAGAAATGAGATGGTTGAGTGCTTATTTTGCCAACATTTATCAGTCTTGTGAAACTTTTGATGTATACACTCACGTGCGACGTGAATGCAAGTGCAAGTTAACAATTACAATATGATTGTGTTTGAGTTTCTTTACATAAAGTACTTAAGAAGCCTTAGTTATTTGATATTGGTGAATCTGCTTTTCACATTTGCAGGACCGAATTAGGGCCTTCATTGAAGATGCTAGTGGTAAAGATGTGCTTGTACTGAATGTCCAGGATCCGTTTCAGAGGTTGCTTCTGCATGGTGTATGTGAGGTAAATATTTTCTCAACAATTCTTGAGAACTTAAATCTTCATCCAAACATTTTAAGTTCCAGTCACAACTTGTCTGTATGCAGTTCTATAACGTATCATCTACAACCACGACTACCATGAGAGATGGAAAGCTGTGGAAGACGACAACAATTAAGAGGAGACCGGGAACCGGTGCTCCCTCCAGGCTCACATTAGTTAGCTTTCTGAGGATGAAGAAGAACGGATCCCAGTAACATGTGGTTGCTTCAGGACCAGAAGCAAGAATTTATCAGATGCTTACTGCTGTGCCATGTATTGGCACAGGCGATCCTAAATCGGCTAAACGTGCCGATTTAGGTTCTATTTAGGATGTACACATGTAAATTATCATCTATGTTTTCATTTGATCATTTGATAACATTTTTAACATGTTTGAATGCAAGAGATTGGGTCACTGGTTGTGACTTCCAAATCCTGGTGGTGTTAATTTGCATTAGAGTTGGATTAATAGCAAGCCGTGGTGCGTTGCTGAGCTGCATAGATAGGGCTGCCGGACCAAGAATGACACGCCGTTGCCGTCGGATGAAGAATATTTAGGGCTCAGATCTCTGGCTTCCAAAGACACTAGGGCCATGTTTGGGGGAGGTTGTCCCAACTGCAGCTTTTCCCAAAAGCTGCTTCTGCTAGAAGCTGCCCCAAACAATTCACAGCTTCTTAAAAGCTGCCCCAAATAGTCCACAGCTTCTGAGAATCTATAGTTATAGATTCTGAAAAATGAACTAAGAAGTCAGAAGCTGTGAATCTGTAGTTACAGATTCTGAAAAATGAACTAAGAAGTCAGAAGCTGTAGAAGCTAGGTTTCATCTGTAGTTACAGATTCTGAAAAATGAACTAAGAAGTCAGAAGCTGTAGAAGCTAGGTTTCATCTGTAGTTACAGATTCTGAAAAATGAACTAAGAAGTCAGAAGCTGTAGAAGCTGGGTTTCATCTGTAGTAAAAATGAACTAAGAAGTCAGAAGCTGGGTTTCATCTGTAGTTACAGATTCTGAAAAATGAACTAAGAAGTCAGAAGCTATAGAAGCTGGGTTTCAGAGTTTTTCCAAAATATCAGAAGTTAGCTACCAAACAGCTGGTTTTCAGAGTTTTTCCAGAATATCAGAAGCTGGCTACCAAACAGCTGCTTCTCAGAATCTAAAGCTCCCAAAATAGGCCCTAGAGCATGGCGACAATCTTGTGAAATCAAGCGCAGTATATGTAACATTAACTAGACAAAAGTCATCGTGAATTCGTCATATGACTTCATAACTTGAGAAACAAGGCCTCTCGACGTTAAACAGGTTTGCCAGATAAGATATGGAGAATAATTCAGCATAGAATGAATCGGAATCCTCTGAATTGAACTGAACGTCAACGCTTGACAGATCATCCGGATGACACCAATACGGCATAGGTACCGGGGATGAACAATTAATTTTAAATTTTGTTGATGCAGGTTCAGTCAAATCATAATTTTGAATCAAATATATATTTTGTTGTGTTTAATAGGACAGTTGCTGAACTTGGCCATGATCCACCTCACGTGCTTGATTGGAAGACTGATGGAGATAGCTGTGTTTGGTCTAACAGGCATGGCATTGCTATCAAGTTCAATGTTTGTCTAAATAAATTTGTGGATAACATTACATTGTGGGCAAATTATTGAATGGAAGATGATCATTATGATAGAGGACCATTATCACTGCAGAAGCATATTGAATACAATACCCCCCTCTTAAAAAAAAATTGAACCTAGCTAGGCCAGCTAACTCACCATCTTATGGAGCTAACCAAAAGACCCCTAAGCATTTTTCATTGTTTTCGCCAACAAAAACAATCATATTCCCCTCACAACAATCATATTAACTAACACAAAGCCAATTTTCCATTCTAACACAATTAACCATAGAAACTTGCATGGTTCTCTCTCAAATATCTCATTATTAGCATATTAATCATGAAAATTTACAGTATGTACATTCTTAAGTGAGAACATCAACTTTCAATCCGATTGAAAGGAACACGTACGCGAATTGTAGAACAACCACCAAATGAATTAGATACATACAATACGTTTCTCACACACAAGCTATGGCCGCATCGACCTTTCAACAATCAACAATGCTATCCAATGTTTTGATCAAGCTAGGACGACGATCGATATGGAGGATGTGGCCAGCCACACTCGTGATACACACACCCATGTATGCCCAAATATATATGGGATATATATGCCCTGGAGATGGAGACCACTACTCCAGCCAGCTCCACATTCTCCCAGCAGCTAGCTAGCTACAATCCTGCACCTCTTCTCTGTCTACTGTCTAGCGATAGCAAAGGCACACACAACATATTAACATTATAACACACATACAATCGATCTCTGAAGTCTGAAGCTAGCTAAGTTCAGCTATTGCTGAGACATGGCTTACCCTCCTAGCTCTGGGTACCCAATTACAGGCAGTAGCCTGCAGGTGACGCCGTGCGGGGCGCTGGTGGAGCAGTACAACGAGCTCAACTTCCGCAACCTCTACTTGCACCATCTCTACCTGGGGCCCAACCCGACGCAGTCGGTGATGCTCGCCGCCGACGCCGCCACGGGGCTCGGCGCCACCACCGTCAACAACTGGCCCATCTACGACGGCCTCGGCTCCCTCGTCGCCCGCGCGCGGGGACTCCACGTCTACGCCGGTGACTGGCACAACTCCTTCACCATCGTCTTCGAGGACCAAAGGTACCCGTGCTTCAATTCCCTCCGTGTTTTCTTTACTTGTCGTTTTGGGCATTGAAACCGTCTCGCAGTACATGTATTATATCACCATCTTTTTTTTTACTACTTCCTCGAAATTCTATATATGTCTAGATTTATTAACATATACATAAATATAGACAATGCTAGAAAGTCTTATGATATAAAACGGAGGGAATACATGTTTATAAAAGCTAGAAAGATATGATAACCATATGAATGTACTTTTTATAACAAATACACCGATATCGTTTTCTCATATCAAATCATAATATTTTTATATTAATTAATTATTTAAGACTTCAAGGTTTGACTATATATACGTTTTAGGGCAATATCTATTTAAGAAAAGAGGCAGTATAACTTTATTGTAAGACACGTTTCAATTTAAACAAATATAAAAATAAAATCGGATTTGCTATAAATATGTCATCAGTTTTTTATGAAAATTAGTCGATTTTTTGGCCATAGGATGTACTTTGATATCTGTGCTAGTGCGTAGTAGCAGAAAAAATGTACAAAGCACGGTGGCAGGGATCGAAACCCTGGTCTTCTAATCTTCTAAGTTGTAGTGATAGCACCAAACCAATTGAGCATGGCACCATTTTTTCTTCCCTTGCCAAAACTAAAGTTATATCCATTATGCAATAATTACATAACACTTTAGTTAGTACTTACGTAGTAGTTACACCCTATTTACATTGTATTTACATATCAGTTATATTCGTCACATTGTTAAAGTACTTCCTCTATTCCAAATTAAATTTACTTTTAGCCCCTTCCATTTGTCTTAAAATAAGTTTGTTTTTGAGTAATCATTGAAACATAGTTTATGAAAGTATGATATAATTATATTGAGAGTAGATGGAGTGAGAAATAGTTGCATTGAGATTTGATAAAGTAGAGGTATTCTAGTTTTTTTTGTGGTTTATATTGGTATGTGCAGGATGTATGAAAATAAATTTATTTCGGGACGAAGATAGCACTTGAGCACCGAAGAACGATACGCCTAGAATAATATATAGCTGAAAGGGCATGTTTTAATTAAAAAATTGACATGTTTATTTGTGTTGTACTTAGGTTTAGGGGATCCACGCTTTTGGTGATGGGAGTGTTGTTATGGTTATGGATACCACATACCTAATAGTAGTTGACTAAATCTCGGCAGGACCCACCACATACCATGTCCTATACGGAAACCGACTTCAGATATGGAGGGAGTTTCGGATAAGGAAAGAGAACCAGAGTTCTACATGGAAATGACAAGGACTACTCGGATTGTATCCATATTGGTTTCCCTAGTTCTACTTGGACAAGGAAACACCTATGGGTATAAATACAAGCCCCCCTAGGAGGACAGGGGGACACCCACAAGGAGACAATCAACAGGATCAACACCCAACACAATCGACATAGAAGCCACAACATAGAAGCCTACATACGCCAAGACACGCCGCCGGATATCGACTTCAGGGATAGGCATGGCTATTCTCCTACGGTGCCTCCGGATACTGTCAGGAGATACGAAAGCGCTATCTCTGATCTCGCCGGGCACGAATTCGAGGAGGAAGACTACCCTGTTGTCGACTACGAGTCAGACCTTCAGACCGACATGTCGACAACAGTTAGATAGGCTACCCACATATTGTACTGGTATGATTATGGTGAATAAGAGCAATACCGGCTTCGGCCAACAGGATGTAGGGTTATTACCTGACTACTCAGGGGCCCGAACCTGTATAAAAATCCCTGTCTCCATCTCTTTTACCTCAGTCTCGCATATATCCTAGCACCAACGATCCCCATACTGTCTAAATACCGTAGTCGAGACATCAAACGTCGACAAGTGTCTGTCGAAAACGGTGAATGGGGAATTGTTGGTGGGACCGGTCAGTTCGCCATGGCAGGAGGTGTGATCCAGAAGAGGGTGCACCAACGGAGAAACGATGGCAACATCATAGAGATTACAATCCATGGATTCTGCCCTGTGCCTAGAGGCTCTCAGACTCTGCCAATGGGACCATCCCAGCAGTACCCCATGCCCACGTACAATGTGAGTTGAACAAAAATTTTGACCAAGTTTTTCCTCTGTTTCATTAGTTTTTAATCCCTCCCTTTCAGATTATAATCAGATTATAAGACGTTTTGACTTTGATCAAAGTTAAACTATTTCAAATTTAACTAAGTTTATAGATAAATATATAGTAATATTTATAATACTAAATTAGTTTCATCAAATAAATAATTGAATATATTTACATAGTAAATTTGTCTTGGGTTGAAAATGTTACTGCTTTTTTCTACAAACTTAGTTAAACTTAAAGCAATTTTGACTTTAAAACATCTTATAACCTGAAACAGAGGGAGTAAGTATTAATGGAAGTTTACCCGTTATCTGAAAGAATGCTATTCTCCGTGTGGTTTGTTTGGCCTTAGAACTCTGATTGCTACCATCTACTCATTCTGATGTAGTCACAAATAATGCTCATAATTTTGGACAATGTTTTTTGTCATACTTCTATAAGTTTTAAGCATCGATATCCTTCAAATGGTATTTTGGAAAATCATGTACTAGATTTGGCTTAAAGAGCAATTTAACACAAACTTGTAAATTGTTAAGCATTACATGTATTTTGCAATTAGTTCAGTCACCAACATTTCTTTTTCAAGAGCTGTCCGAGTATTTATGACCATAGGAGTAAGAGAAATATCTTCTTTTAGACATACCGTGCAAAAAAAGTATATTTCATTTGCATCATGAATAGGTAAAGCAAAAGTAACTCTTTCAATCCATTTCAGCAAAGCCATCCCACTAAGGTTGGACCATGGGGTGGAACTGGAGGCACTCCTCACGACATCCCTATTGCACCCCAGCGTTTAGAAAGCATAACAATCCGTCACGGCTGGACAATTGACTCCATGTCCTTTTCTTACACTGACCAAACTGGTCAGTAGCGCTCTGTTGGCCCATGGGGCAGTAGCAGTGGAGGCGATACAACCACGGTGAGTATATGAATTTTTTTTAACATGGAAATATAACATAATTAAGAATGCCCTTTTGAATTATATGTCAATTTTCCGTGCATAAAGCATTCTACTTCATATTTTTCTATAATATTTTTTTCTAGAAATACCTTAACACTATTTTTTCTACAATATGCATCAATTATATTGGTATTGAAAATACTCCCTAATTCCTTATACTTCTCCCCAGAGGAAGCAACAGTGGTTCATGTAGAGTTTGAATATCATTAATTGCACACCCAAGGTGAAATATTAATTCGGGTTCCACTGTGGTTTATATATATACTAGATTTTGAACATGATGCATCCATGTCCAACAAAATAATGTTCGTGCCGTTCACAATTGTGTCGATCGTGTACTGTGACGACGATGCAGATCCAGCTGGGGCTATCGGAGTACGTGATGGAAGTGTCCGGGACGTACGGCGCGTACAACAGCAACGTGGTGGTGATGTCGCTGAGGGTGGCCACCAACCTGAGGGCGTACGGCCCGTTCGGCCGCGCGGAGGGCACGTCGTTCACCGCCAGCGGCCGCGTCGTCGGCTTCTTCGGCCGCTCTGGAGAATTGCTCGATTCCATCGGCGTCTACACGGCCTAATTGAAGCCCCCTCTCGATCCAGGAAATTGTGATACCATTATATTGCTCGCTATCTTGTGTATGCATGTTTTTAGTACTATGAGTGCTCTGGCTGTTCAGTGCAGTGTGATATGTTCTGTTTGTGAGAAAATAGTATTAATTTCCTGATATATTTTTACAGGGATATAAATATTCACTCTTGTTCTTGAGTATATTCAGACTAGCAAAAGTGCCTGTGCGTTGCACCGGGTGATTACGGAGTGTGTACATTGAAAAAAAAATGTTGCTTAGGGATCTAAATCAGACTTTCTCCCGGACTGGCTGGTCGGCCCACGGCCTCTTATGTACACATGCGGGAGCTCCCCACCTCCCTGGGCCGCAACCTGGGCCTGGGCTGGGGAAGCCTCCCCGCGCGCGCCTCTACTTGGGCCGAATTCGGTTCGGCCAGTGCCGGCCGTCTGATCTTAGGGTTTTGATCGGACGACCGGTGCCGACGTTGAAGGGACAAAACCCCATCCCTCCCGGCGCCGGTGAAAACCCTAGCCTCCTCGCCCCCTCGCCCGAAAAGAGAAAAGCAGCGGCACTGGCGCATGCCTCCTCCCCGGTGTGCGCACTTGCCCGAGGGTGAGTGCGCCGCCATCAAGCGGCCTTGCCCCGGCGCCCCTCCCTGTCGTCTTCCGCGCAGTGCCCCTCCCCATCGTCTTCCGCGCGGCGCCCTCCCCTCCGCTGCGGCCCAGCGGCGGTGGCACCCTCCCCTCCGCCGAATCTAGTGGGAGGGGAGGCGGCGGCGGCCCGGCGGCCTAGACCCGGCATCCCGGATCTAGCAGGAGGGGAGGGGACGTGAGGCGATAACGGCCCAGCCTCCCCTCAATCGGATCCAGCAGGAGGGGAGCCGCGGCGAACCAGCGTCCCTTCGACGGCGGCGGCGGTTCGGCGGCGACAGCGGCACCCTCTCCTTCCGGTATCGTTTTTCTTCTTGTGTCCTTGTCTTCGATTCATACGCTTCAGTTTTATTTGTATGATGGAATTCCGACTGGTTTTTTTTTGTTGGGGAGGAGGGCGAGCGAAAATCACCGCACGGACGAGGTGACGAAAGAAAAAATACGAATCTCTTAATTAGTTAAGATATGCAACATATGCTTATATTTTAGAACAAAAATTGTATATGAGAAATTTGGACATGTATGTACCATCCGATTTTGTAATTTCGTATGCACCATAATTCAGGATAGAAATTGGATGGCAATAGTTAATACCCGTTAAGGGCTTCTTTGGAATATGGGATTCAGAAAAACAAGAATAGTAAAAATGCGGGAATAATGCCTCGTTGAATCCTAAAGGAATTTTAACCACAGACATTTGCAACAAATACCGTTTGGCAACACTACTGGAAAACCATACAAACTTCAAGACTTAAAGAGAAAACATGAGGCTAGAGCTGATGTTGGTTTTCTTCCAAAATTACTACAAAATAGCCTACTACAACTACAGATGCAGCCCCGCGAGCCATTCCACGGTGCACACGAACACGCGATCGTACGTGTTTGAGAGGCACGCAAGCCACGCGACCCAGCTAGCTGCTGGGTGCAGGAGCGCCCATGACGGGCATTGACGTACAGTACTGTACTACTACTACTACTACTAGCTGTATTGGCAGCAGCGGCGAGCACAACCTGTGTAGTACAGTACTCCTATATACGGACATGGTACGCGGCGTGCAAACGCAAGTTGCAGTCACACAGTCACAGGAGTTAGGGGCTGTTTGGTTCTTAACTAACATTGATATAAATCACTTTAGACAATGTTAGACAAATGTGACTTATCACGTTTTTTTTTCCTACAAATTGTAAGCCACACGTGTGGCAAAGTTAGGCAAAGAATTGAGTTTATGACATGTGGGGTAGGACGGTGAGAAAGTGTGGCTTGCTATAACTATGACAATAAACCAAACACAAGCCTAAGGAGTTGTGTCAAATTGAAGCATTGAATCAAATAGCCCCAATCGTTAACTACTGACACCGACACGCGAGTCACGGGATGTTGCCGCGGTTGCACGACGCGCGTGCCACACCCCATCCATTGACTGCCCAGGGCGCAGGAACAACAACAACAAAGGCCGGCCGGCGTGCGTGCGTGCGTGCGTGCGTGCGTGCGTGCGTGATCCTAGTGTACAGGCTAGCTAGTACGGAGTACATACTAACCCACACGCCTTTGTGAATCCGCGTGGATTTCCTGCCCCGATCGAGGAGCATTTGCCGCCGGCAGCATCCCGCGGTGGCCGCGTTGCTTGCGATCCGGACCGAGCGCTGAGTCGTTGTTGTTATGTGAAGTTAAACGGGAACCAGCCAAACTGCCAAGGCATGCATGATGCATATTTAGGCCTCTCACATTGTAAGACATGGGGCCCGTACCTTAGAGCACCCGTAATGTTAAAGTAAGGTGCTCTCTGTAAAACATGTACATCTTAGCAATAGACTAGATTAATAGTAAACCACCTCAATAGTATGTCTATATGGGTATCTATAGCTCTCTAATGCATTGTCTCGTTTTTCTCTATAAACTATCTCCACGTTAGTAGATAGCTTTGCTCTCTCTCTTCATTTAATCTCTTCCAAGTAGGAAAATATGCTGACATGGATATCTTGTAAAGAGCCTATAGATAACCATTGCGGGTGCCCTTAGCTCAAAAGGTTAGTCCAAAGACATCCACCACATAGTGTAAGCACCCATATATGTGTGGCTTAATTGGATGGAGACACTGATGAAGGAAACGAAGCCCACAGTGGGCGTGAACCCAGGCTTTTGGACACGGTAACGGAGCAAAATTTATTCCTCACCTACCCCTCTCTCCAACCCAGCACGCAGGCGGACACCTCGACCGCTTCGCTCTATCCAACCCCTTGCGGCGGCGGGGTGCGTCCCCAACGGCGGTGACTGGCGCGGTGGCGGCGGGACGCATCCCCGGCGGCAGCGGTCGGCTTCGGGGGGCGGCGGCACGGTCTCACCCGTCTCTCGCCCTTCCGTCTGTGGCTACAGCGCGGGATGTGGCTACGGCGCCTCCTTCCCTTCCCTTCTCTGTCCCGATGGGAAGATGACGCGACGACGACGGGAAGCCGGCTTCGAGGTGGTCAGCATCCTCCTCTGTGTCCCCGCCTACGACGCCGTGCTGATGCCGCTCGCCCGCCGCGTCACCGGAGTCCGCCGCTCGCCCGCCGTGCTGATGCCGCCTCGCAGCTGCAGTGGCTCGGCGTCGGCGGAGCCGCCGGCGCCCACAGAGGAGCCGCGCAGGCGCAGCACCAGCCACCGCCGCCAGGAGAAGGAGCGGGTGGGCCGGGCCAGCGGCGGTGGCGCGGAGGAGGTGCGGGTGTAGGTGCGGCGGCGGCTTGTCCTGCGCCTGCTCCTTCTTGTCGTTAGGCAAAATTTCTTGGAGAAGGAGAAATGTCCGCTGCTTTTCTTAGCTTTCATCTTTGTGTGCATATACTAGTTCAGATTGTTTCTCGGAGAAGGAGAAATTTCTCGTCTTGGTGAGTTGGGATTTGATCTTGGGATTGAATGAACTTGGTATCTTGTTTGGGATTTTGTTTTGATTTGATTGAGTTGTGGCCAATGACGACGACGACGCCGTCGGCAGCAGCAAGAACGTCGGCGCAGACTGGATTTTTGGAGGGCGAATTTGGGATTTCTCCGAGCGGCTGCGGCGCAAGGACACGCTGCGTCAAAGAACGGACGCGCGTGGACTCGTCAAAGCGTGGTACCGTGTCGCTATGTTTGGGGACGAGGGGCCAAGCTTAGTCGCGATTCCTAGCTCCACCTAAGCGAAAATCCTCCATGGCGCAGGTAAGGCACGAGCCAGCTCACCGCACTGTGAGAAGCCTTAGGATGTGTTTATGTCACGCTAAAATTGAAAGTTTGGTTGAAATTGGAATGATGTGATGGAAAAGTTAGAAGTTTATGTGTGTAAGAAAGTTTGGATGTGATTGAAAAGTTAGAAGTTTGAAGAAAAAGTTTAGAACTAAACTCGGCCTTACATTGTGTCGACGCTGATCGGCCGCTCTCACCAGTGCCCTGTTTAGTTCACACCAAACTTCCCTCAAACTTCCAACTTTCCATCACATCACATCCAAAACTTTCCTACACACATAAACTCCCAACTTTTTTTCTAAACTACCAAGTTGTGTTTAGTTCAGCGCAAAGTTTAGATTTTGGTTGATATTGGAGATAATATGACTGAAAAGTTGTGTGTGTATGACAGATTGATGCGATGGAAAAGGACTGAAGTTTGGATCCAAACTTTGGATCTAAACACAGCCCAACTTTCTCCAAACTTCTCCTCAATTTTAGAAACTAAACATAGCCCACGTACACAACCCTGCAGTGGTACACTACTAACAGTAGTACACACTAGCTAAGGGTGTGTTTGAGGAGAAGGGGATTGAGGAGATTGGGAAGATACATAAAACGAGGTGAGCTATTAGCTCATGATTAATTGAGTATTAACTATTTTAAATTTCAAAAATAGATTAATATGATTTTTTAAAGCAACTTTTCTATAGAAAATTTTTACAAAAAAACACACCGTTTAGTAGATTGGGAAACATGCGCGCGGAAAACAAAACAAAACAGACAAACTCACTCTCTCACAGTTTCTGTCCAGACTCAGAGTCAAGACAGCTCGTGGTCTCGATGATCTGGACGTTATTGTCACGTGCAATTCTCTTTTTTTTTTCACAATTATACTACCTTCGTCCCATATTACTTGTCTTGATTTTCTTCGTCCCATATTACTTGTCTTGATTTTTTATTTGTCAATGTTTGATCATTCGTCTTATTCAAAAAAATTTAGAATTATTATTTATTTTGTTTATCATTTGCTTTATTATCAAAAGTACTTTATCATTCGTCTTATTTAAAAAATTTTGAAATTATTATTTATTTTGTTTATCATTTGCTTTATTATCAAAAGTACTTTACATATGACTTTTTTTTTATATTTGCACTGATTTTTCAAATAAAACAAATGGTCAAACGTTGCAAATAAAAAGTCAAAAACGTCATCTACTATAGAACGGAGGGAATACTAATTAAACGCGTGTACGTACAGGTTTGGGGCTGATTGTTCTTCCATTTGTAGCCTCAAATAAATCAGGCGGACGTATTAACCGTGGTTTTCTGTGCTGCTACCATTCTGAATAGACTAATTTTACTGTTCTTGAGAAAATATCAAAAGGTATCAATTTTTTTATTATAAAATTTAGTACCTACAAACAGTTTTAATGTACATTGAGATACTAACAGTTTTAATGTAGATATCTCAAGTTATTTTTTAAGTACTACTATAAAATTTCTCATCTTAACAAACCATTGATCAGTTAATTTCGTACCTATAAAACATGATCACCATCATCATCATGATCACATCAATTGGTTTTGGTTGGTGCCCTTAGTTAATTAGTACCGAATCACACACTGTTCCCAGCTGTGCTCACACTGCAATAGTGCAAATACAGGTGTGATCGATATTGTACACACGAACGTACTGCTGTTTGCTGAGGCCCACACACGTACGTACGTACGTATATAAATACACTCGGAATCAGGAAACATAATTTGATGTCCCGCCGCGTATGTATCGATCGTATTATTGTACGTACATACGCCGATACGCGTGGTCCCTGAGGCCCATGACGACAAGACCAGAAGGCGCTCATCAGCTGTACGTACGACTGTGGCCCAAACGAGCGAGGAGGCCGAGGCCACGGGCCTTGGTGAGCGCCCAAAGCCGGCCGATCGACTGGGCAGCCTAGCAGCTGGTCCAGGCCAGGGCCCCCTGCTAGATGCCCATGAACAATCATCCGCTTCCATTATTACACTTCAAATCAAATCATTCCGAATCGGCAAGAGGAAAATCGTCCGTCGCCTCCTTCGGCAGGTTGGAAATTTAGAGAATCTTTTGGGGATGAGCTGAACTACTAAGTACAGTCGTAGATATTCGTGCTCAACGTTTGACTGTCCGTCTTATTAAAAAAATTTATGAAAAATTTAAAAATATTTAGTCACTTATAAAGTATTATTCATGTTTTATCATCTAATAGCAATAAAAATACTAATTATAAAAAAAATTTAAATAAGACGAACGGTCAAACGTTGAATGTGAATAGTGCAAAACTACACTTATTTTAGAACGGAGGGAATAGTTCTTTGGTCAATATTTTGTAGTAGTGAAATTTTAGCGCCTTTTAAAGGAAGCTTGTAAAAGAGAGCGATAAACCCAATAACCGAATCACATCATCAAAGAGCATCTCCAACTATGAAAAAAAAGGGTTCGAAATGGTCGAAAAACAGTCTCAGGATG